GCCCGGGCCGAGTGGCCATGCTGTTGTCTGGGCCCAGGCCTCCTGGGCCCCTGGGCGGTGCCGACTCCTCCCCTGGGGAGCGGCTCTGAGGGGGGGCCCTGGGGCTGAACAAGCCCCGCCACCCCCAGGCCACAGCCCCCAGAGCCAGAGCGCTTCTGCAGGAAGCAGCCGACCCCCAGGGTCCCGCCCCTCGGTGCCTCCATCCCGGGCCGGGCCGGGCCGGGCCGGGCCACGGGGTCAGCTCCGCCTCTGCCCAGGTGTTCCTGTTCACGGCGCTTCCCGACTTCTGCCACCGGCTCCTGCCCGGCTACGTGGGCGGCGTTCAGGAGGGCGCCGTGACACCCTCAGGTGAGGGTCTGCCCTGCCTCCCTTTCACGCTGCCCCCTCGGCTTGCTTCCTTCCCCAGCTCTGCGTCCTGACAGGAAGGAAAACGTTGCTTGGGGGTGACCACGGGTCAGACGACCCCAGGGGCAGCCCCGCACTGGGCAGGGGCGGTGGTCGCGGTCCTCGGAAAGGAGGGAGGCGCGTGGCCTTGCCCGCAGCTGCCCCTCATGGGGCATGACCCCGTCCAGGGTTCCGCACGCATCTCTTGGGGCTTCTGTGTAGGGGACTGCCATCCCCCATGGCACCCTGAGCCCTGTCCACAGCGGGCTCCCTGCCAGGGCAGCCGCTGCCCCCTGCCATTTGCTGGCGCCGAGCCCCCACGCACAGTCCGGTGCGGCATAGGGCCAGCAGTGGGCTAAGGGGCGTCGGGCTCTCCAGGGACTCAGCAGACGGGCAGCGGTCCCCCAGCAGCCGCGGGAGGGGCGCTCCGGCACCCCCATGGCCGGGCTCTGTGGGCGCGCCCCGGGCAGGTGGCAGATGCTCCAGCTGCTCCTGCCCTCTGCAGGGGCCGTGAACAAGTACCAGGTGAACGGCCTGCAGGCCTGGCTCATCACGCACCTGCTCTGGCTCGCCGGCGCCCACCTCCTCCCCTGGTTCTCCCCCACCATCATCTTTGACAACTGGATCCCGCTCTTCTGGTGCGCCAACTTCCTGGGCTACGCCGTGTCCACCTTCGCCATGGTCAAGGGCTACTTCTTCCCCACCAACCCCGAGGACTGGTGCGTCCCGCAGCGGCCGTCGGCCCCAACCGGGGGTGGGGAGCCCGGACCACGGCCCTGAGCGGGCGCTGCCTGGCTGCGGGCTCCGGGTGGGG